ATTATGTAACAAGTTAAACTTTTGCTTTATTAATAAAGATCATGAGTAATACCTCACTTTAACATTAAAAAAAAAAAAAATATTATTATTATTGGATAATGTATAGAAAAATGTAAGTCTGGCAGTGGAAAGAAAGTAGTTGGTAAAAAAATTTTCGGAAATCTAAAAAGCCACTTATTTGTTGATCTTTTTTTTTATTGAATGTCCGGCAGAAATCCTAATTTTCTTAGAAAATTCAGATGACAACCTCTCAAATTATATTAAGAAACTATAAGTATTTTGATGAAAGGAACATCTTTTATTAATGACTAAAAAGACATTGTCAACACTAATTTCTCAATAATAAAGGATATTGACCTCTAATTGAAGAATACTAATAAGTAGACTAAAACACATATCCGAAGTCACATGACATTAGCTGATCCCGAAGCTCTGAAGTGATATGAAATTTGAAACTTATAGTAATTATTAATATAATAATAATTTTAATATATGTAAATTAATTTTAAAATTGAAATTAAATATAAAACTTTATCAATTTATATAATTAAATATTCAATTAAAAAAAAAAGATTATATCAAATAATATAATAATATTTATAATTAATATATTAAATTAAATATAATTATTTTTAAAGATTTTTAAAATTAAAATAATTTAAAAAAAAAACTCTTTTCCAAACACATTTGTATTGCAAAAAAATTACCAAATTAGGAAACTCAAAATTTCTTCTTGAAAAAAAAAAGTGAAAGACCCTGGGGAGCCTTCCCTCTCCAAGAGTCAAGCAGTCAATCATAAACACATCCTCCTTGACATACTTGTAACCAATATTAAAAGCCCTTAAGCTATCATCATTTACAGAAATACCAAAACAAATAAAATCTATGACTCTACTCCTGCCCAATCAATTTGCCTTTCCAGACTGGAAAACTGCCCAAAAGTATGGATAACAGCTGTCTGCTCCCTATAAAACGATTTGGAAAGCCTTAATATTATTAGCGCCACTTTTGAAGACTATCAAAGAACTAGAATATCACCTATACTTATACTTGCCACTATAACCATGCCAGAACCAATGCTCTTAGAAGACTTAAACTCCTTCATGAAATTCCAACACACCTTCCAATTTACAGACAAGGATAGAACAGACATCATAAGAGAGATTATGAAACATGACCTTAACTACGGCCTACATATCCCTTGGGAGAAACTTAATATCACTACTTTTGAAGAAAGTAAAACTTTTACTCTTGAAAGAAAAACCAGGACGCCCTTACCTCCTCCAAACACATCTGCACCCACAGAGGAAATGATCGACGACAATAGCATGCAACCTGATTCTTCTCCTGCGACAATTCTTGCATCTACCCTTGAACCTGTATCACCTATCGACAACAACTCAATGCAGCACCTACATGAATCTGAAACAAACAACTCAGGCACTAATGCACTCCTGCATGAGAATGGTACCAATCAACACAATACGCGAAACCCTTCTGAAATGGAAATTGATGATCCTCTTACACACAATGAGCTACACTCACAACCCACAACTAATACCTCTTCTTGGACTGATGAAACAGAAGCCACACTATTATCCTCAACCACCAGCCAACTTGAAAATGATATTTGTGACACCACTCCTGAAAATGAACAAATCAAGATCCTTTTGTACTGTAAAGAAATTACTAACTGCCCCAGAACTCCAGAGAATGTACTTAAACTCTTCATTAAAATTAGAGATGACCCCAAAGGTCTTCTCAGATTTTCATTAAAAGCTATTTTTACAAAAATCAGTCATAGAGACAGAGACTTCTTCAGAACTTTTATCAAAAGCGAACAAATCAAAGGCAAACACCAACCTGAATACGAAAAAATTAAAAACAAGTTCAAGGCAAACTATCTTAAGGTAAACAATATCAGCTATATCACCAGAACCACCAAGAAAAAAATTCGTGTAATCATCAATAAGGCACTCTTTGCCGCCTACCTCAGATTAACAGACCTCACAAAACTGAAATTCTGGCAAGTTGCTCAACTTTTGGAATATGGCTTCAACTTTTTTTCGATTCTACACTTACAAAAATAGACTATCAAGAATTGTATAACAAGTGTGAAGAACTTATAAAAATGAAACTACCGAACCTTCCTGAGTTATCTAATGACATCCCAGCATCAATCAAAATCAAACTACCTAAAGCCATTCCTATTACCTCACTAAAATTTACTAGAGAAGTAGCAGAATGCCTCAGAGCATACTATAACTTTAATCTACTCCCACCTTCATTTTTTGTACAAAGACCAGACCTTCCTAATAATCCGACCAATCTCAAAAGTGAACTTCATGGCATCTTTCCTCTTACAAGTAGAGCTGACTTGAGAAACTACGAGAACTTGTTGACAAACTAAGAGATCATTACTACGTACCAAGCAAATTACTCCAATCCTATTTCAACCTACCCCACCTAAACAACTTCTTCCCCCATCGTATACAGACCTTCCTAAATATTTTTACTCCTACTTCTCTGTTGACAATGATCCAGAAATGATTCAAGCAGCAGTTCAAATATTAAGAGACGACATGTATGTTGTGAAGAGACTGCCACAAGACTTTATCAAACCTAAGAGACGACATGTATGTTGTGAAGAGACTGCCACAAGACTTCATCAAACCTAAGAGACCCTTACCACCAGTCCACTGGTATAATGAGAACAACGGCAATATTCTACCTATTATCGAACAAGACAAGGTCAAAGAATTTATTAAACAACTCAGAAACAAGTTCTTCTTCAAACTTCCTTTAGGCCCCGAATAGATCAAAGAAGGTCTAACCCAATCAGAAAAACCCATCATTCCAGCCGAGTTCATACAAATTGAAGAGGAACTAGGTATCACTAGTGATAATCTAAACAGAAACCACCCTGAATTCGAACTCACAACCAAAAAAATCAAGGACAAGTACTTGGAAGAAATTTCATGAGAATGGATTTCACCCATCCTGCCTAATCTCCCTAGCCTAACCATAGTACAAGAAACACTCAAATCTGAAAAATCTATATTGTCACTCCCCATAATTGAGGATGGAACTCTTCCTAACAAAATCAAACTGCTTAAAAAACTCTTTTATTTCAAAAAACTTCCCACCAAATTCATTATTGAACCAAAGTCACCTGACCCAGATCTGACTCTTCTCCCCCAACTTATATAAATATGATCACAATAGCGTCTAACTCAAGTCAATCATTTCTATCTAATTCAACAAGTTCCTTATCTACATCTACCCCATCAACTCCAACTATAAAATTCACAACCAAATCATCTTTAACAACAAATAATCTCAAAAATCTCATCACAATCTCTACACTTAATGCCCAAGAACTCAACGACAAAGGAAAAAGTTGGGAAATAACTAAAGCCTTAACCAGTGAAAGGCATATCTTCTGCTGTTCTGAAACCAAAGTCACCACATCAAACCCACTACCCACATCACTCAAC